TATGCCCCAGCCCCAAAATGTAAACAAATAGTAATTTAACCCGGATGTGCCACGCCCACATAAGTTTTTTTGTCATAGGTGAATTCATATTCAAAGTGTCTAGTTATATTCCAAATATCAAGGTTCTACATCAAATAGATCATAACATATACATACACTAAGCTCAAAAAGTCGCAAATATTGTAAAAAAAAAAAAAACTCAAATTTGAAAAAATCACGAATTTCAATTTTGCTTTAAAAAAACGATTGTTATATATCTATGTAAAGTACACGAGAAGCACATTAGGAAACCGAAAAAATTTACTCTCTAGGTTAATTAGGTCACGTGCTAGAGCAGTCCAAATTTGCGAATTTGGATGTTTTTGGACAGCTATAAAAGCTAAAGTAGACGTCAGAGGTCAAATATGAGAGCATAAACTAATAGACAACGTCAATGACCTTTGACTCAATAAAGGTCAAGGTAATCAAAGGTCAAGGTCAAAAATTGAAAATTTTGAATTTCCAAAACCTGTCCCTTTTTTTGAACTAAGAAGCGGAAACAACCGAAATTCTAAGACAAAGTGGCTTACAATATGAGGTAATTGTATGCAAAGTTCCATTTTGAACAAACGTATACTTTGCGAGTTATGATCCTGGCCAAAAATATCAATAATGAGTAATATTACCCGGATGTGCCACGCCCACCTTAATTTTTTTGCATAGGGTAATTGATATTCCAATTGTTATGTTGTGTTTTAAATTTCAAGCTTCTACATTATTCAGGTCAAAAGATATAGGTCAACAAATGTCAACAAAGGTCAAAATCGAAAAATGAAAATATCCAAATGTTAAAACCCGTTCCTTTTTTGGAACTATAAAGCTGAAACAACTGAGCTGTTAACACAAACTGGCCAAAAGGATGAGGTTATTGTGTGCAAAGGCCCTTTTTTAACAAACGTATCCTATGCGAGTTATGCCCCAGCCCCAAAATGTAAACAATTAGTAATTCAACCCGGATGTGCCACGCCCACCCCAATTTTTTTGCCATAGGTGAATTCATATTCAAAGTGTCTAGTTGTATTCCAAATATCAAGGTTCTCCATAAAATAGGTCATAAGATATACATACACCAAGATCAAAAAGACACAAATATGGAAAACAAAACTCAAATTGA